AGAGGTTTTGGGGCACACGTCGGGGTTTAGGGGGGTCTGAGGGGCACAGCTGGTGCCCAGTGGGTGCAGCAGGGGGAGGACACCCCAGAACCCGCCAGAGGGGCAGGTTTGAACCACACAAGAGGTTTTTTTTCAAGGAGAGGAGCTGTGATGCCCCTGGGGTGGCAGGAGCTGAGCCCTGACACCCCCCGACTGGAGCGAGGGCTGGGTGGGGAGCTGAGGGGTGCAGGGAGGTTTTGGGGCACACATCGGGGTTTAGGGGGGTCTGAGGGGCACAGCTGGTGCCCAGTGGAGCTCACCAAGGTGCAGCAGGGGGAGGACACCCCAGAACCTTCCAGAGGGGCAGGTTTGAACCACACAAGGGATTTTTTTTTTAAGGGAGAGGAGCTGTGATGTTCCTGACACCCCCCGAGCCCCGACACCCCCCAGCTGGAGCGAGGGCTGAGTGAGGAGCTCAGGGGCACATGGAGAGGTTTTGGGGCACACATCGGGGTTTAGGGGGTCTGAGGGGCACAGCTGGTGCCCAGTGGGGCTCCCAGGGGCAGGAGGGAGGCGGGGAGGCTCAGCAGGGAGCAGTGGGGGGCTGTGGGGCACAGGGGCACGTTGCCAGATCCCTCCTTTGTCACAGCAGCTCCGGAGGTGGGAGGAAGGAGGGGAGGAGGAGGAAGAGTGTGGTGGGGATTTGATGGGACTGCTACAGACCCTTCCTGCTCCCTTCCTGCTCCCTTCCTGCTCCCTGCATCGCTCCAGAGGTGGGAGGAAGGAGGAGAGGAGGAAGAGTGTGGTGGGGATTTGGTGGGGCTGCTGCGGACCCTTCCTGCTCCCTGCCCCGCTGCAGAACCCAAATCTCCACATGATCTCCAACATGATCTCCACACAATTTCCATGATCTCCACACAATTTCCATGATCTCCACACAATTTCCACATCCAACTCGATTCTCCCCAGCGCCAGCTCAGCCCTGGAGCCTCGTGGAAACACTCCAGAGGTCTTAAACCCCTGCAGCTCCCCGGGGATGTCCCGTGAACACTCCCCGGGGCTCTGGCTCGGAGCAGGACAGGGACAGGGAGCTGGGATGGGGACAGGGAGCTGGGACGGGAGCTGGGATGGGGACAGAGAGCTGGGATGGGAACAGGGAGATGGGATGGGGACAGGGAGATGGGGTGGGGACAGGGAGATGGGATGGGGACAGGGAGCTGGGATGGGGAACTGGGATGGGGACAGAGAGCTGGGATGGGGACAGGGAGCTGGGACAGGGAGCTGGGACGGGGATGTCCCTCCAGACATCCCCTGGATGTCCCCACTGACCCCCAGATGTCCCCACTGACCCCCCAGATGTCCCCACTGACCCCCCAGATGTCCCCACTGACCCCTGATGTCCCCACAGCCCCCCAACCCTCCCTGGCCAGTTCCCTCTCCGTGCCCCCTGTGCCAGTGAGAGCAGAGGGGCAGAACAGACCCCAAAATCACCCCTGGACAGGATGAGGGGCTCCCCAAAACACA